TTCACTAAAAACCTCTTGATTTCAACCAAATTCATTTGCATCCATGATCTCTCCAGGATAGACTTGTATCTATAAGGAGGAAAAAAAAAAACCTCATGTTTGAGTCTAAGAGAACAGACATTTTTGTAAGGGTTTTAGTTCTATTTTGAAAAGAAACAACCGTTGTATCATTAATGAACTCAACTTGTAGTTGTAGATAAATTGTAAAAAAAGATATTGATAAGCTACAACCCTTGGCAAAATGAATAGAGCAATATTAACTGAATTAATCCTCAAATATGAAACCCCCTAATGACACACTTCATCTAAGTCTCAGATTCCATGATTCAAAGAAGCAGAAGAAAAGTAGATCTGGCCACTCAAGCAGTACTTCTCATTTCTGGTGCTCTATCAATTAACTAAAAAAGTCTAGAGCACCTTAAATTCTTCCATTTAAATCTTAAAATTGTAATCAATTTGAGTAAAATCACATACTCCAAACAGTATAAAAATCCCCCAAAAAAATTTAAAAGAGAAATTCATATGAAAACTGCATTGTTGTTTGCCATTGTGCCTTCCCTAGCAAACTTGAATAAGGGCCAGATTGTCCCAACAAAGAAAGCATATATTAAAAAAAATCATAAAAAAAGGCAGGAAACAAAAATGGGGAAAAATACACCCAAAGAAATTAATAAAAGAAGAATGAAGTAGAAAAAAAGAACAAAACATAAGCTCACCAAAAACCAAAATAGAAGAGATGAGAAACTAATAAAAGAAGATGAAGATGAAAAAAAAGAACAAAACATAAGCCCACAAATTTTCTTCCATTGATTTTTTCTGCTGAAAACACATTTGCTACAGTAAAGCTCCCTCAGAAAAATCTATTTGTCATCTACCATACCATGTATATTGAAGAATACAAAGAAAAAGAATGCCAATTTCTATGGTTCAAAGATTTACTATTTGTTAAATATTTTAAGTTAGACGGTTCTTGTTTTACCATCTTGAATGAGACCATTAGAGAAGGAGATCAGAAGGTCTGTTTCAAAGAGAACAGAGAATGAGGCCATTAGAGAAGGAGATCAAAAGGTCTGTTTCAGAGAGAACAAAGAATGAGGCCATTAGAGAAGAAGATCAAAAGGTCTGCTTTAGAGAGAACAGAGAATGTCTAAGTCAAAACCCCCATTTGAAACCATCATTGCAGATTCAGCTCCTAGTTTCGACCTATTGCACTCAGTCACCTAGACAGAAAAGAGAGAGGAACTCTTAAACACACAAAACTCATCCTCAATATCTCATCAGAAACTGAATAATCTGTCACAAAATCACACACACAGAGAAAACAATAATTGCTTTTATGAAAGTCTATTAAAATTCAAATTGCCATCTTGGTGTTACTTTATATCAAATGGAAAAACAATAAACAATAAATCAACATATAGAATATAATTCACCAACCCAAAAAACAAAATCCTTAAGAAATAGTGAAGCAAAGTACCACTCACCACTTCAAAAGGGATCATTTCTTACATTAAACCCTTTTTTAATTGTAAAGCAAAATTTTACCGTTGGAAATATACAGGTGTTTCCCCTAATATGCTAACACTATATATAGAAGATAAAAGACAAATTCAGAAACCAAGTTTACTAGGTTAAAATTTTGTAATAAATATTCTAAAATACTTAACATGGCAAATATTACCCTCTCCACCTTATCCTCGGTCTCCCCTTTCTTGTGCAGGAACTTCTCTATCCAATCAATTTCAGTCTCAGGTCATCTCGTCATCGTAGCTGCTTCCACTCACGATTTTTTCCCTGCCCTGTTTTGCCCTTTAGCCTTTAATCCGGTTCCTTGTTCTTGGACGTTCGGTCCTCCACTCGCCACGGCGTCTCGCGCCGTGGTTTTTGTGGCGAGTGGGATTGGATCGCATCTGAGAAATGGGACTCGCAATTGCAGCACTATAAGATTTGCAATGAAAATCACCACCCCAAATGGCAGTGGGAGAAGATGAGGGAGAAGACCTCCCTCGAATCCTCGATCATCAACCTCCTCTCCTGTGCCTCCATCATCTCTTCTTCCATGCCACCCTCTCAACCGGCCTCCTCTTTCTCTTCTTCCTATGATCCTCCTTTCCCCATTCCCCTTTCCTTTAAGCTTGCTTTTTCTTGTCTCACTGAAAACGCGGTTGGCCGTGTAACTCGACATGCATGGTATAAGAACAGTGCGCTGAGAATTTGCACTGAATATAGTATTTTTTCATTTTTTTGGTTAGCTGCTTGCCGCAAATGGTTAGAGTTAAACCCCTTATTCTGTGACCCAAATTAAGCCTTTTAGATTGGTCATTACTAACTCGCCCAGGTTTTTCTGGATAAAAATTTGATCCGAATATAGATGAACAGACTAGGAACAGTATTGGTGCTTTTGAAAACGTTGGTTAAAAGACAATAAAACCAGTGAACAGCAACAAATCTGAGGGACAAAATCCGGAAATGCGGGGTGAGTTTGCTATGGTAAGGAATGAATCAAAATGTGTTGACCAATTGTGCTCGATGTAAGGTTGTCCAAAGTGTGTGGAAGAGAAGCTACAATTGGTTGGGGTTTTATTCTATATATTTGCTCGGACTTAGTACATTCT